AGGCCCCAAGAGGAGGGTCACACCACCAGCACCAAGTTACAAAGCAAATGAAACAGAGAGCACTTCAAGGCTGGACAGCAGGAAACTGGTCACGCAGAAGGGCCCACCGCCCAAGCTCCCACCTTTCGGCCACACTGGACACAAGCGCCTCGGAGCCTGCCACTGGGAGTACAACCCCAGAGTTTGGGCACCCAGTTGGGCTCTGCTGTGCACCAGCCCAGTGGCCTTGGGTAGCTTCCAGTCCTTTCTAAGTCTCCCTACTGATCTCTCGAAGGTTGGAATGATAACAAAACCACCCTACTCCCTCATTGTGGGATTCAAGAAGCTGAACTGGCTGGGAGCAGCTCCGTGATCTTTACCACTTACAACTGACAAGGCTGATAATAATAATAGCAAGGACACAGATGATGTTACCACTGCAGGCACACAGCCACAAAAGGAATCCTTTCCAGAATAGAGAAGTAACAGGGAGGAGGAGGGATAGGTAATGGGGGAGGGGGGAGGGAGGGCGGAAGGCCGCCTTCCTCATGAGCTTCCTCAATCCTGGAATAGCCTAGAGTGGAATCTGCCCACTGGACGGATGGGCACACTGAGGCTCTTCCAGAGCAACCCAGGGCAAACTGCTTGTCTCAGCTCTTGCCACTGAGGCTTGGTGAGGCCAGATGCCCCTTCCAAGAAACACCTCTCCCAGTTTGCAGGCTAGCCCCTGTGTTCTGGGCCCTAGAGCATCCTGACAAGGACCAGAAAAGGATCTTGGAGGCAGTGCCCTAGGTCCTACTGCCAACTGATAATTGAACAGTTTCAAGCCTCAACCTTCCGCTCTCTCTTCTTCCAGACAGCTGGAAAGCTGGCAACTGTCGAGGCTGTAGAGATCACCCTAAGAGAAGAGAGCCGGATCTACCAAGACGGACAGACACAACACACAGAAGGATCTGTTTGGAAAAGAGGAGCCTCGGCTCACCAACTGAAGTGTCAGCTCAGGAGAGGGAAGCAACACGGTTCAACCTCGGGTCCAGCCAGCCAGTCAGTCGCTGGAGGCCTGCTGGGGTACCCCGACAGAGGACTAGTAGGCACTAACGTCTGTGAGAGACACTGAGGCCACCCGACAGCGGAGGTCATGCTGAACAGCTAGCCAGTCAGCAGGGGGCTGCTGCGAGGACTGGACAGACGGAGACGCAAACGGGGACAGGGAAGTCTTGTCCAGACCAGATAAAGAACAGTCAAACTGCAGGGCTCGTTCCAATAGTTACTGAAGTGGTGGGTTCGCCCAAATTGACCGACAGGCAAACGGAGAAGAGGGGGTCCTACTCCTACTTAACGGCAACTAGATGACAGAGTTTAACCACGAAGGCTGAGGACGAGGTGGACCGCGGGGTCCTATGCCTGCCCGGCCCTGCACGGCGCCCGTCTCCCAGTGCCGGTGCCGGTGCCGAAGCCGGTCCCGCGGACACGCAAGCGCCGCAGTTACGCCGGCGGCGCAGGGCGCGCCATTCCCGGCCGCCCTCCGCGCCCTAGGCCGCCGCCCGTCCGCCCGCCCGCCGTCCCCGCGGCGCTCGCTCACCGGCCCACGAAGTTCTCGAGCACCGAGCTCTTGCCAGCGCTCTGGCCGCCCACCACGGCGATCTGCGGCAGATCCAGGTGGCAGCTCTGGCCGATGGAACTGAAGGCGTCCTGCAGCTTGTTGACCAGCGGGATCAGCTCTTCCATCCCGCGGTTGCCCATGGCGCCGGCCGCCCCGGCCCGAGCGCCTCGCACTCCTCGCCCGCCTCCGACTCAACGACACGGCCCCGCGGCGTCCGCGGCCGTTGCTCCCCGCCCGACCGGGCCTAGGCGCGACGCTCCGCTCCCGGTTCGGCCTCACGGTCGCCGCCTCATCCGGTTTTCAGGCAACACCCGACCCGAGCGACCTCCCGCCTGGGCGCCTGGTTGCGCTCAAAGCCGACTCGCCACATTTAATTGGCCCTCCTGGTTGCCAATCAGATGTGTGAGCCAATGAAAACGAGGCACGAGTTTACAGCTAAATAAGACTTCCCCTGGGAAGTTTCTCGCCGACTCATTGGACTCAAGAACTGTCGTTGTTCTGCAAGAACCAATAGCGGCAGGAAACAAATTGTCACGGCCAGGAGGCGGTGTTTCAGGAAAAGGCATGTTGGTTCCGCCCACTGGTGGGAACCAGTTCTCTTATTGGCAGGAAGACCCGCCAGTCGACAGAATTACCAATGATGTGAGGGATTGAGTCTCTAAGACATTGGTTTGTGCTACCTACCTAGCTCCATAAAAATTCGCCATTGGTTTATATAAATACCATTCCGTTCCTTCAGTACACAAATACAGAAGGTGAACATCCGAATTCTGATTCTGACTGAGAACTGTTGATCAAAAAAACTCGTTCTTGGCGATTGTTGGATGTCTAATAGAAAGTCTTCTGGAGTAAGAAGTCTCGCTGAAGGGTGACACCTAGTGGTGGATCTGGTGGTAATCGTCATTTTTTTTTTTTTTGTTCCCCTCTAGAGAAAACCACAAGTCCCAGAATGCATCGCCTCAACTCCCGGCGTGGTGTGGCTCTGGGTTAATGCGCTGGACTGCAAGGCCGTTTTGAATACCAAGATCGACGGTTCAAGCTCACCAGCCACTCCTCGGAAACCCTATACGGGGTCACTATGAGTCGGAACCGACTCCCTGGCACTTAACTACAAGCTCCGGGCAAGTCAGTTAGTGCACCCCAGCGAATTTGCAAATACGCTCACGCCCCTTGGTGATGCCCTGCCTCTTCAACGTGGTGTTTGTGTAAAGGGTTTCCTTCAGAAACCCTACTAAATGCAACGGATACTCTCCCCATGAAGAAACGCTATTTGGGCGATCTGGTAACTAGTATTCTTGACTTCTTAGAACAGATGCAGAAACACGTGAAAGGATTTTAAGATAAGAAGTCACTTGATCCCTCTGGGCACGGAAGGAGGAGGCAGGAGCATCGCGAGAGGGTTGAGGGGGATGGAAAACAAGTTGGGGGGGGGAACAGGAGGGAGAGGATGACTGCACAGCATGACCCAAAATCCCAGCGCTCAGAAAGATGGCAAAAAGGGTGAGAAGATTAGGCACTGAGACCTTGGCCAGAATCACAGAAACCTGGAAACATCCTAATTGTCCATCCACAGGAACTGGTTAAGGGCGGTAATACAACAGCAGCCATCAAAGAAAATGAGTAAGCGCTCCATGAACTCAAATTTGGGTGAATTTCTAAGGTGCACAAGAAGACAGAGAAAAAGTAGTGGACACTAACAACATTTATGAGAAAGTATCCGGTCAGCACTGGACTGCAAACCATAAGGTCGGCAGTTCAAACCCACCAGCTACTCCTTGGAAATCCTATAAAGGATCCCTATTAGTAGTAACTGACTGGAAGGCACTTAACAACAACAATCAGTACCTGGAAATTTTCTGTAGTAGTACACAACATGATACAAAGTAGTTGCAGTTTTTGTGCTGTATGAATTGTTGATCATACACATCTATGATTTTTTTCAATAACAAAACCTTATTTTCTAAGAGCACAGGCTTTGAAGTTGGTCACATCTCTCCATAATAAAAGGAGCTCTGGTAGTAGTGTAGTGGCAGTTGGAAACTACCAGCTGTTCTGCAGGAGAAAGAGGCAGCATTCTGCTCCTGTAAAGATTTACAGCCTCGGATACCCTGTACAGGGTCACTATGAGTCAGAACTGACTCCACGGCACATAGCAACGACAACAACCCATAAGAAAGGTTTTCACGGAGTGCTGGTGGCACAGTGTTGTGAGAACCCGGGGTCTGTTATTTGCCTTCAGTGCTTGGGTCCGCAGTTTCCTCTTCTATGAAATAGGCACGGAGCACTCCATGCATCATAAAGTTTCAAGAATTAAATCCACATGACAAGCACTGAGAACAGTGCTAAACACAACAGTGTAAGCACCCTATTAGCATCATTAGGTTGACTAGGAGAGACCTTATTATACCAAGTGAAGGTACTCAGGTTGACACAAACAGTTTGGACTCCTGGCATGGCACTGTGGGTTAACGCGCAGCACTGCACTGCACAGTCAGCTTGAACCACAAGGTCGGCACAGTGCAAGCTCACCAGTCATTCCTTGGAAACCTACACAGGGTTACTATGGTTGGAAGTGACTTGACGGCACTTAACAACAACATAGGAGTCCTGCTGTGGCGCTGTAGGATAAGCCCTGGACTGCTAACTTCCAAGTCAGCTGTTCAAATCCACCTGTCACTTCTCTGAAACCCTATGTGGAGTCGCAATGAGTTGGGATCGATTCATTAATCGGTATTAACAACAGGGTAGCTGGGAGTCCGAATCCACTGAGCACTAATAAGGCTTTTCAGAGAGTCCTGGTGGCACAGTGGTTAAGCACTCTGCTGTTAACCAGAGGGAGAAAGCTGATTTACAGCCTTGGAAACCCTACGGGGCTGTTCTTCTCTGTCTTACGAGGTTTTTCACTAACTAGCAGTCTTGTTTCTCTTACAGCCAAGGAAACCCTAGGGAGCAGTTTGACTGTCACGTGGGGTTGCTGTGAGTCGCGTATGCAGAATCGAGGCTAAGAGTGGGAGCTGCCCGAGTTCAAATCCTGAGTCTGCCACTTCCTCAGTGCGTGTTCCTGGGTAAATTACTTCTCCTTTCTGGGTCTCAGTTTTCCTCAGTTGTAGAAAGGGGGAGGACAAGAGTACCCATACCTCCAGGGTGGCTGGGGGTAGGTCTGGGCCACAGCTCTGATCTCAGGCACATCCTACAGGCTGGGCTTTTGTCAGAAGGGCTCCAGATACCAACAGTTGCTGTGGGTCCTTGCTGTGATGGTCCACAGGAGGGGGCAGTGTCTGTCACAATTTTACTCAGTTCAAGAAAGGGACCAAGAAGACATACAGACACGAGAAATATTAAAAAACCAACCTTTAATCTCTTCCTGCTCCTCTCCCCCCACGCTCCCATCCAGGGAGCCCCCACGAGCCAGGTCAGGGGTCAGCCCAGTGTGATTCCCACAGATGCCAAGGCTTCAGTGGCCCAGGGAGGGTAAAGGGTGGGGTCCCCATACATGGTGTTCATGAAGTCCCGCACGAAGGCAGGGAAGCGCTTCTCCACGATGCTGGCCCGCACCGCGCTCATCAGCTGCAGCTGCAGGGAGGGATGCCTGTCATCAGCCGCCCATGGGAGGCCAGAGACCAGGCCTGCCCCTTTGCCTGCCCACCCAGCCCCAGGCCCACCTGGTAGGCGATGTTGTGGACCGTGAGGTGGTGCAGGGCAGCAGTGTTGTCACTGTGGAGCAGTGCGTGCAAGAAGGCCCGGCTGTGCCTGTGGGGGGTGGGGAGCAGGATCAGCCTGGTTCCTGCTGTCCCCCTCCCCGGGCCCTACCAAACCTCGCCTACTTCTGGCACGTTGGACAGGTACACTCCGGGTTGATGGGGCTGAAATCCTTCTCATACTGCTTTTTCTTCAGCTGCAGGTTCCCCGTGGGCACCAGGGCAGAGCCAAAACGCTAGGGAAGGAGAGACAGGGAGGAGGGTCATGAAGGTCTTCATTTGCCCCGCCCCCACCCCTCCGGGTCACTCCAGCCTTTGTCTACCCCACTGCCCAGGGCTCACCGCAGTCCGCGTGGGGAAGACACAGTCGAACATGTCACATCCGAGAGCCACACAGACCACCAGATCAGTGGCATAGCTGGGGATGAACCCATGGGGGAAAGGGAACAGCGAACCCTCAGACTCTCAGCCTGAGGTTCCTCGCCACCCTCAGCCTCCCCAGAGCCTAGGCCATAGTCCCTCAGAACCACCAGGGGAAGGTCGATATACTCCTTAGTCCACCCTCCTCCTCCCTTCCAGGGCCCTCCAGTAGTCCACAAGTGAGCCCGGTCTCCCCTCTCCACCACATACCCGACCCCCATCAGGTATCTGGGCTTGTCCTTAGGCAGCCGCGAGGTGCTCAGCGCCACCATCTTCCAGAACTGGCCCTTGCTTTCACCCCCACTCAGGCCCCCGATGGCGAAGCCTGGCACATCCCTCTTGGTCATCTCTGGGGGCACAGGGCAGGGTCAGGGGTAGTGGGGTATGGGAGAGTACCTCCCACCCCTAGGCTGAGACAGCCAGCCCCTCAGGAAGAGAGAGCGGAAAAGGGGTGTGTGTGAGTGTGGCGGGCACTGCTGGGGACCTCAGCTCTCAGTTAGCCCGTGCCTGGTACACGTGAGACCCTCCATCAATCATCAGAATGATTGGTCACACACTCTTCAACTGAAACCTTTGAAGCCAGACGTGCTTCCGGATTCAGCATGCTCTGCATTTGAGCACAGTGAGCATCCCATTTGCTGAGGAAAGCCCGTTACCAAATATTACAACGTTTCTACCCAAACAACAGATGCAGACATGGACACGGATTTGGCACCCATCTGACCTGCCACACTCAGGGTTCTTTAGCTGTGAGAAATGGACAGCTCTGGAAGCATAGGGAAGAGACTGGAGCTCGTCTGACAGATGAGCAAACTGAGGCTCACAGAGCTTACACCAAGTCTGCCAGCAGATGGAGTCGAACCTGGGGCTGACCTCAGAGCACAGACTTGGCTTGTCTCAAGGCCCCCACTGACAGTTCAATGCTGGGTGGGCTGGGGAGAGGGTGCAGAGACCACAGACTAGACAAAGCAGGTGCTTCCTGGGGCCAAGTTCTGCAGCAGCAGCAGCTGGGGGAGGTTGATGAAATGTAGGTTCCCAGGCCTTCCCTCGTGCCTCCCCAACTCTGCCCCCGATGATGGGGAAAGCTTGGGGACACTGCATTTGACCAGGCCCCTAGCAGGTGGTGCCAGTAGAGGTGAACCTGGGAGCACTCTGAGAAGGGTTACCAGATGCTGTTTGTCAGACTGGGTGGGGAGACCAGCAGCGTGAAGGGAAAATGCCAGAGAGCACTGCACGCAAAAGGGTAGTCATTCCCTCAGCTGTGGTTCCCATCCGCAGGTCCCCAGCACTGACAGGAAACGGACCTCTGACTGGGGGTCTCAGTTAAAAGACTGAAAGTTATTGAACCTGAGGTGGGGGAAAGGAGGACTTGAGGACAAAGAGGGATAACCAAGCTGAGGCCAGGCCCAGGCATTTTCATGCTCACTTTGACCCCAAGACGTTCCATTTTACAGCAGGAGAAAGTGAGGCTCACAGAGGGAAAGCTTCTGAGCCATGGCCCTGGAGCTGCGAGGCAGATCTGGGTTGGAATCAAGCCTGAAAGAGGGGATCCGGTCTTGCCCTCACTCCTCACAGCCTGAGTCCACATCTGTGCCTCCTTGTGTCTCTCCATGGCCACAACCTTGCTTCTGGTCTCATTACCCTGGACAACAATGCCAGACTCCTAATGGGCCTCCCGTGGCCTTATTTTCTAATATTGGCTTTGTAATTGCTCAGACCTGGGTTAGAATCTTGGGCCTGTTCATTTACTGGGTGACAATGACCAAGGTATTTGATCATTGATGCTCTTATCCTCAGGTTCCCCATCTGTTATGGGGAATGAAACACTACATGCATCATGAATTTTCAAGGATTAAAAGACACATGGCAAGACTAATTGCAACTATCACAACTGTAAAGGTAGAAGTTTAGAAACAAAAAAGCTGTGAATAATTCATCTTACAGTCCAGGTGCAGAGGACCCTAGGACCATCAAGGGAGAAGAGCACGAGTGGAATGTGGGGTCCTATCCAGAGAAGCAGCGACACCAGAGATGGAAGCAGAGATGAGGACATGGAGAGAGAGAGCAGCTGAGGACTCTAGATTCATGGAAAGAGAAAGGCTGTGTGCTGG